AATATGCATGGTTAGAAACAAGACAAAACAACTCAGGAGAACAAAAAAAAATGGCGCGAAATGAGAATTCTTTCATTGGGCATGACTTGATCGAATTGAAAAATTGTCGATTAGTTCTATTTATAGATGATCTATTCGTAGAATAGTTTAGTTAAAAAATTTCTAATTCTTTGTTAGGAATGAATCAAATAAAAATTTGTAACATAATCAAAGTTGTTTCCCCCTAGAACGGTAAAAATATATAATGACTAATTTTATAAATATCTGAAACTTTTGAAACATGAAAAAACAATTCATCATAAGTGATAACATTTTTTCGTAAGACAGTGAAAAAGTACCTTTCTGTAAAGAAATTAACAATACCATTACTTTTCGTTTATCAGTTCATGTGTAAAGTATTGTGTCTTTTGAGTTCAATGTGTTCAATGTGTACAGTTTATCAAAATATTTTTTCTACCAATATTATACGAGTTGAGATCAACGTATAATACGTAATATTTAGTACTATTCAGTACAAGTAACATTTCATTTAAGAATGCAAAACTTTATATTTAATACGATAATCGAAGCAATAATTCGAAGCAATAATCGATATAATACAGTAATAAACAAAAAAAAATTTATTATGTAGAGACATAATAGGCATAAATTGTTTTCTGATATTCTATGCATTACATCCGTACATATAGCATATACTATAATAGTACTTCCGATTGTGTACGTAAAAAGATTAAATCCATATGATAAAATTTTAACCTTATTCTTGGATTCTTATTTTCTTAGTATTTTTAATGAAAAATGAGATTATTAATTAAATAAAAATATATTAGAGGTTTTTTTTTCTTTCCATGAGGACTTTCATGTGTACATACGTAATGTAAATGCATACTTACATTGCCTGGTACGAACCTTTGACGAACCAATGCAAACGAACATCACGTGTATCTTTTACAACGTCTTAATATGAAAGTATATTGAAAGTATATTGAGGGAATGTATATATATCTGCTATATACGTAGTATACATACAGAAAGGTTATGAAATAATAACAATACAAGAATACATTCTAAGCATAAATTTAACAGTATAGAGAGAAAATTAAGAAAGAGTAGAAATGGAAGTAAGATGATTGTAATCCAAATTTGGAAGCTAGAGCTGGGGAGTAAACCAGATAAACCAGTTATGATAAATTTAGTGGACGAGTATGGCATAACGAACATTTAGGTCATCGTATGACGTTGAAAATATTACAGTATTAGTAGTAAATATGTAGGTCGCTTTTGATTATGCAAAACATAATAAATATATATGTATATGTAATAAATATAAATAAATATACAAAACAGTGTCGACATAACATCCGATGATCGATCGACTGGGCCCCTTTTTTCAATATCGGAGTTGATGTATTCTTTGATTTTCCTATTTCGATATTAATATACACTAAATTCTAGACATTAAAAATCATTTATTTTATATGTATCATTTATAGTACATATATGTAAATGCCGATAAATACAAAGCTGAAAATATATTAGCAAATAAACAAACACGTGATTATTTATTTTTTTTTTGTGTACTTTTAAACTAGTTTTCTATCAAATATATGCGTTGGCTAGGTTGATAAAAAATTCACGTATAACAAGAATTTCTAGAATCAGATCAAGAATTTTTTGAAAGATCAATGACTCATATGTTTCTATTGTGTAAGAAAAAAAATAAAAAAAATAAATACGTAAATACTTTTGTATTTTTTTTTTTTTTTTACGTATATGCAGATATGTATGGATTATTTAGATTATTTGAATAGAAAAAATTTGATGTATTGTTGGTTAGCATTTATTTATCTCATATACATAAAACGCCCATCAACGTTCATCTTCGTTTATATATAATGAAAGATGATTGGATCGGCGTACCCAACAATAAAACTATTTCATCCACAGACGGCGAGTATATATTCATAAGGGCGTTCATTATGATGAAAAAAGGAGAGTGCAAAATACTCCACAATTAAAATGGATTTATTTGGTAGACTTATTTAACATATTAAAATTACCACTATGGAATAAATTACAATATTCTATATTACAATAAAAACTATTCATTTGTTAAACCTTGTTATCTGTTGTACAATTACTCGCCTTTTTAACAGTCCTATTTTTAATAATTAAACAATTAAACAATTAAATAATTAAATAACTAACTAAATAACTAGATGATTACTGTAAATGAATTTAATAACTCCCTTTTAATAATCTACATCTTCGAATCTTGAACTTTTTTTTTTTTTAAGAATATATTTGAGAATATTTAAGAACTCGACCATAATGATCATAATGATCATAATGATTACTCTGATCATAATGATTACTCTGTTTATAGTTTAATTACGTTGGTAACATACAGTATTTTAGGTTAATATATTTAGGTAATAAAGATAAAAAAACACGGATATCTGTATATATATAGTAAATAAATGTAAATTAGAAACTAGGTAATAAAAATAATAAAAATAATAAAAACATTTAATTATTCTAATTTCGGACATTTTGTCATATATTAAGATTAAATAATTATATTAACATTAGTAATATTTATTTATTCAAAGATTCTAAATTAGAAACCAATCCAATCATATGATCATATAATTTTATCAAGTTGTAAGCGTAGTGTACTTATGTACGAACGTTACGGAAGTACGGATGTACGTCCTTATGTATAACATTTATATGCTTCTAAATTCTCGAAATTCTTTAACTCTCACGTTTTTTATGATGACTGCACGTTTTGAATAACTCAAGATTTGATAAACATAAATGCGACCTCGATTTAGCCTACATTTAACCCTTTTATTCCATAAAAAAAAGAGTAATTCCTAAATAAAACTCAAACAAAAAAAAATGAAAAAAATTTTTTTCCTATTCATTTCAAATCGGGATAAATTACTTTTAACTGTTAAAGAAATGTATTACATAATTTAAAATTATATGCGTTATCAGTGAAATGAAAATCGTTTTATACAGTAATTTATGATCTGATATTTTTTTTTGATTTACTCTATGATTCTACTACTACTATATATTATAAGATTCTACTATATGCTATAAGATTCTACTATTTCTACTATATTATCACTCGGTGATATTTTTGCCAAGAATATAAAAGAAAAACAAATTTGTTAGAATCATAGGATAGTGTTTTAAAGATGTTTTTGCATACCCAAAGTAGTTTAAATTAATAATGATTTGGAAAAAAGTAATAAACCGCATGATAAATAAACATCTCTTTTTGTATTAACTATCTTAATTCGATTTCATACGTAAACTAATAAAGACTGGACTGGATAATCCCGAGGTTACTCTTTTTTACCTCACTTTTATATCACTCTTATATAATACAGTAAGTAACTGATAGAAGAAAATCTCAATTGATAAAGTTCTTACCTTCGAACGACCCTAATGAAAATATGAGTAACGTGTTATCATTTTATTATTTTATTATCATTTAATAGGTCGTTCACTTGTTTTACATTTTCTTGATGAAAGAATATTCATGTGAATTACACTTTACCAAATAATAGCCAATCAGACCAAGGATTATTTATTAATATGATTTACATGATTACTACGTAACAGGTAACGTAGTAACCAAAATATCACACGTATCATCGTCAGTCATACATACATCGCACATACTGTACTTACGTACTGTACATATGTATTTTTATATACATAAAGTTAAATTTTCTTAGTGATACACTTTATACTTATTTATGTATATGTAAAAAAAAAAAAAAAAAGGCTGTCCACATGCTTTTTCTTCGATATTCTCAAATCTTCTTTCAAATGTAATAAAAATTTCACAAAATATATTAATATTTTTTTAATATTTAAGTATTGACTATTGACTTGATAACTTTAATTTTACGTATTATTATTATTTTTTTATTTATTTATTTATTTATTATTATTATAATTATAAAATTATTTATTATGCGTGCTTTGAATTATTTGAATTACTCAAATTTACTATGTATTATTACAGAATTCTGACTTTTTTTTTTCTTCGGAGAATATATTTGTATTACGATTATTTTATCTAATACTGTAATATACAAATTAATATTTATTTATACTACTGTAGCTATTGTAGCCAAATCAAAGCCATAAAGTAATTTTTGTATAAAATGTTGATTTAAATAATACCAAAATTTTTTTTAAAATACATATATATTGTGTGTGTGCCGGATTTTTTTTACCTATAAATCCTTGAGTGTGCCACTTTCTCGTGTTTTTAATTCTTTGGTTGCTTTTAAAAGCACAAGTATTATTAACGTCTTTATATATATATATATATATATATATTATTTTTATTTTGTTTTTTGTTTTTTTTTTTTACAACAACAGGTGGTTAACCTGTTATCTTTATAAATAGTCTTTTAATTTTTTTTTTTTATTTCTCACCTGCAACTTTTACGGTTAAACGGTATAACCTTTTTTCATCCATTCCCATCTTTTTTCTTTCTTGTGTAGTTTTACTATCGTCTAACCTTTTTGTAAAGACTCTTTTTTTCTTAAAAAAAAAAAATAATAATAATTCTTGTATTATCTTTTATTATTATTATTATTACTTTTATTATTTGGTCTTTCTTTCAAAATTTAAAGCGCAAATTTAAATGATCATGGAGTCAACGATTCTTTCTGATATTGTTGACCCTCTAAATCCAGTTAATGTTCATATCCTTCTTTATTATTTGATTATTATTTGATTATTATTTGATAATTGTTTTTTCGTATCCTATGATTTACCTATGATTTCTCCTATTGTTTATTTACAGGATCATCTAGAAGAAGAAGAAGAAGACGACGAAGAATTACTTTCTTATTCTCACCAACCTCCTCGTTTTTTTAATTCTGATGAGAGTGAGTCGGACTTTGATGATGATAATGATGTTGATGATGGAGTTTATTATTCAAGTGACTCAGAAGAATGTGATATGGATGTAGATTATATGTATGCTCCTTTTGGTCGTCCACCTTCAAGATTAGGTCGTCATACAAATTCTATGCACTCCGGTTCAAAAAAATCCAGAAGAAAATCTTCAGCTACATCTTTAACTCGATTAAAAGTTGATAATTCTTTCCTAAAAAATCAAAATATTAAACTTTTATTGGAACTTGAACATTCTAGATTAACTATTCAAGCTTTAAAAAATATTGTTAATCAAAAAGAGTCTACCTTACAAAGTTATCGTAATGAAAATCAAAAGGCTATACTAAAAATTAGAGTTTTAGAGGCTTTGATATTTAGTAAACATGCCAAGGATGGAAGTATAATCGTAAGGAGTGGCGGTGGCAGTGTAAACGAAAACGGGTTATCTACCTGTGAAAAAGTTGATAAAGTTGAAAAAGTTGATAATAAATTTGATAATAAGTTTGATAATAAGTTTGATAATAAGTTTGATAATAAGTTTGATAAAGTTGATAAAGTTGACAAAATTGTAAACGATGATACAAATCTTGTTGATAATTCTGTTCAACCTACTACAAATCAAGAAAATCAACCTATCAAAAAATCTAAAGAAAAATCTCTTAAAAAGGTTTCTTCTCCTGCTGGATCTTCTCCTCCTGGTTCTACTAAAATTAATCATTCTCGTTCTAATAATAATTCCCCTCCTCAATCTACTAAACAATCTACAAAAAATTCCTCTCCTTCACAACCTTCTTCTCAACTTGCTTCTTTATTCCGTCCTCCATCAATATTATCATCTATTCTTCCTTCTCAATCTAATCAATCAAGTCAATCAAATCATTCAAATCAATCTAATCATTCAAATGATTCTCCCAAAAAAATTAAACATCAAAGACGTTGGTCTATGGATTTTGGTCCTCGAAATCATTTAAATAGTGATGAAGAAATTACTACCGCTTCTGATGATATTAATGTATCTTCTTCACGTAATCGTCAATCTATATCTCCAACTTCTTCGTCTACCGTTTACTCTGGTAGTGCTACAAATGAATCAAAATCTCGTGGTATGCCACGTTTATTTAAACGTAAAACTGGAGATTTAATTCAAACTTTAGCTTCATGTCGTCCTACTAGTACAAAAAATGGATATGATTTTTCTCCACCGACTACTCCAATTCCATTAGATAATCATGAATTAAGTGATGATAATAATGTTGAAGAGTCAGAAGTGGAAGAAATTTGTGAGAATAATGAGAATAATGAGAATTTAGATGAAAATATTATTATTGACGATAAATTACAAAGACAGAGAAAGTTGGGTCAAGGTTTATTGAGTAAAATATTTTCTTCTACATCTTTTCCATCTACGATATCAACTACGCCAGCTGCTCGTGGATCGTTAAGTCGTTGATCGATTATTATTATTATTATTCATCTTTTTTTTTTTGTAGATTGATTTTTTTTTTTTAGTTTTTCTTTTTTAGACGTTTCATTTGCATAATCTAAATTTAGACTTGAAACAATCACATTCCCCATAAAACTTGTCATTTAGATAGTTTTATAACCATTTTTGTTATTTTCTATTACTTTTTGTAAATACTTTCACGAATTTTCACGAATGTTACACTCTGTGTACATTAAATCCTAAAACGGTGGGCCGGGACGATTGAGGAGCTGAGATGACATAATCGTTAATCGTGGTATAGTCATTGTATAACATGGTATAGTCATGGTATAATCGTGGTAAACCCACATTCCCCATTTAATATAAACCCTTCATAACTTAATTTAGTAAGGTTTTTTATCGTTAAATCATTGTTCCTTCTACCATAATTAAATTTTACACATCGACATTAATAGAGAGACAAAAAAAGAGAGAAAGAGAATCTTTTATATCATCCTTAGTTTCTAAGCGATCTCACATCCATCAAAAAATTTATGTATATATGATAATCTTCCTCTAACTCAAAAAAGATTTGTAGACTTTCACGCAACAAAAAAAAAGAACATTTATACACACTCATAATTATGTATCACAACTTTTATAATAGGGTTAATAGGTTTTTGGTTACCTTTAAAAAATTTTTAATAGGAATATAGGATTTCCTTTTTTAAAAATTTAGGACTCTTTTTTTTTAATATGGGTTTTTTTGAACATTAATGAAACATTAATGAACATTATTGAACATTTTCTTTTTTTAATGGTAGTTGGTTGTGTTGTGATGAGAAAAAAAAAAATTTTTTTATTTGAAAATACAGGTATTAAAAATGTAGTTATTCTAAATTTCAATTTTCAATTGTGTATATATGTAGATATTTTTCTTCCTGTTTTTCTATATAGTTTCTTTTGCCTTTTTTTTTTCTTCTTTTTTTTTTTTTTTTGGGTTCATTACATGCTAGTTAATTCAAAATTAGGTTTAATGTAACAGTCATTGAATCTTACAAGGTTTATCCGTATATGGAATTGGTGTTGTTTTTGTTAAAAAAAAAAAAAAAAAGAAAAAACAATTACGGCTTAATAATAGTACAGTAGTAGTTATGATTGATGTTAATAAAAAAAAAGTACTCTTCTATAATAACTCTTTAATAGAAAATATTTTTTTCAATGCTGCAACGATAAGGACACATTATATAATATTGATTGGTTTTAACACATGGGTCGTACTACCACTTTATTTAATTCTCTCAAGTTTTTTTACACAAACTGTTAAAGAAGGCAACATGATATTTAAAGTTCTCTGGTACAAAAATCAAATCACAAGTTTTTTTTTTTGTTTTACAAATCTGTCTTAAGATGAAAATCATCCAGTGTAAATTTTTTTTTTCGCAATCTTGAAACATGTGGCGTCATTTTAAGTTCAGTATCTCTTTTTTCTTTTCTAATCATTTCTTGGTTTGGAATATATTACTTTTGCATGGTCTAACTTCCGTCATCTCGTGGGATTATTTTTGTACTTAAAAAAAAAACTAGTTATAGCTTCTCTATTTGAATTGCATTACCGCGTGCTAAAAAACATTTTGGCGTAGTTTTCCCTTTTTATATGAATCATTACGCATATTACAGTATTATGTACGTACATATATATATATCGATATATATATATATACCCCAATACGTAAAAAAATATTTTTAATAATTCAATTTATAATTATATCACGTTTTAGTTATAAATACCAAATTTGAGTGAATGGAAAAAAAAAGAGATATGTTTGTATTAATTACGCATTTATTATTTATTATGCAAGGAAATGTAAATGCGTGTATGTACATAAGTAGGTACCCTATGTACTGAGTACAGTACATAGATGATTTTTTCTTTTTTTTTTATTTTTAAAGAAAAAAAAAAAAAAAGAGTATGTATGCATACATTTTATTTGTATTCACATGAATATTAAATGAATACATGTCATTATTCCAATTATGATTTCGAATTTCGAATTAAAGACTTTAGGTTAGGTTATTATTAAGGTTAGATCATTTTGACTATATAGATTCTAAATTAGATTTTTCAAAGAAAAAAAATTTTTTTTATCATTTTTGTGAAAATGTTTCGAATAATAATAATAATAATAATTAATAATAGTATCATAATAGTCAATAACAGCTATCAGATATCAATATATAACAGATAATTACATATTCATCAATTCACCTCAACTAAAGATTTCGAGAATAAGAAATCCTATTGTTGAATGGTCCCTTTATAATTTGATTAATTAAGAAAATGCCTATTGTCTCGCATTTTATCAAACGTTACTAGAAATCTATTGTCATTATTATAGACCTAAAAATGATTCCTATTGTCTCAAGAGTGACGCGCATCAACTCGTTACGTAAAAACAATTAAATATTAAGAAAAAACAGGATTTTAGGTTTGTGTTGCTTCTTACTAATGTAAATAATAGAATATGTTAGGAAGGTGGCTTATGTGTATCGTGAGAAATAGATTACACGAACAAACGCAGCCATACGCTTAGGTAACACTAATAACTTGAGGTGTCACGTACTGTAAACTGTACATACATACTTAACTTATGTATGGATGTATGAATATATGCTAGTCGAAAAAAATAAAAAGAATTATTAAAAGAAAAAAAAATTAAAGTAAATAAATAAATAAATAAAAAAAGCGTGTCTAAATCGGTTGATATTATGTTTCGTCAAATTATGTATCAAAATTGATCTAATCCTACAATGATTAGTATCCTTTGTATAAATTAAATATATCCTTTTTCTTTTGATGCGCTTATGTGACAATTTGATTGTTTTCGAGCATTGTGAAGGTAACAAGCCATTTTTTACGTATAATCCTTTTTTTTTTCAGTTCATTTTATTAAATAAAATCTTAACAATTTGATGCCGTTTTCAGATCTGCAATTTTTTTGTGTCATACCTTTTATGGATTTAATAATCTACGTATTGGTATATTGAATCTTCAAAGATCATTTTATTAAACGAAAACTTGTCCTTTCAATTTTCCATATTTAGTTAAATTTTTTTAAAACCATACAATGTATCTTATTTCAAATTTATACGTAAAATATAATTTTTCAACTTGATTGTTCGGAAATTTCTTAACTTGGTTTAATCTCAAAGGATTTTTTGATGAATATGAATTACTGTAAAAAAAAAATTTGTTATTGTTAATTTACTGTATGTAAATCAAAATAAACACCACATTGACGTTAGTTTAAAAAAATTCTTGTAATATTTTTTTCATCATCAGCATTATCGTACTTTATCTTTTTTTTTTTTTTTTTTTTTTTTTTTTTTTTTTTTTAATTTCAAAAAGCTAACAATGAACATTGATAATAAATTTTCTAAGCCGAAGCTATTCCTATTTTGTTAAATCACGAGATTTTTCTACTTAATATGGTTCGATATGAAAACAAAGGATTTGAAAAAAACTATTAGATATGTTAATTTTTTAACCAATTAAATTTTAATTTCTTTCGTGTAAATTTATTAATGCGTGTCTCATTTGTGCTCTTGACAAAGGTTTTCTTTTTTCAGTTCGTGTTCCTTTGTAACTTCTTTGTAACTTCTTTGTAACTTTATGTAATGAAAAAAAGAAGCATGCAATTCATTTTCGGCGCATTTACCGCAGTAATACTAAATTTAATATTCGGGATCAAAAAAAAAAACGTAAAAATGTGTGAGAAGAAAATACAAAAAGTATATCAAAATTCCCTTGAATTACTAAAATTTCTCGTGAAAACGTTGTATTTCCAATGTGTTATTGTGTTATGCATACATAAGTACGTACGTACGTAGGTACTATAAACATACAGTACATATACAGCACATACCAGATACATACAGTACATACCGGATACATATCTATATCTGATAGAACATTACCATAAACTTTAAATATTTGAATAGAATTGGTGATTAAAGATTCATTTTGCATAAACTAAATGACAGGCATTACAGGAGGGTCAAGTAGGATACATAATCTGTCAATTAGGTATAATTAGGTATAATTAGGTGTTGTATAATTAGGTATGTACGTACAATATTTAACGTACATGTTTTTACAACATTTCAATTTTATATGCTTTTCATTCATTAAAGTATAAAAAATTTTACTTATTTTCATTCATGACAATACAATGTATCTTTTCTGTATATTTATCACATTTCCTTGTGTTTCAAACTAGATTAAATGTGCATTAAGAACCCTACTTCGTTTTTTTTTCGAAAAAAAATCTTATTTTCTCGCATGAAAGTGCATTATTTCAAGAAAATGTATGGTAAAATGTTAAGATCACAGCATATTCTTTTATACATATAATTTAAGCATACGAATTATTTTTTGATTTATTATCTGTCATCACATTTCATTACATGAACAGTGTAGAAAGTTTTTTTGCATGAGTTTCTACATGACAAGAACCAATCATTAAATATATATTTTTACAAGTACGTATATGAATTATATGAAATGCATGGTTGAAACCTTTTTTTTGCAATCTTGGATTTTGGCTTCTTCTTTTCCTTCAATACCTTTACCATCTAAATATAGTAACTCATCCCTCACTTGATTGAACGTTGTTTAGGGGTTGAAAACTTTATGTTGATGTTTTAAAATGGTTTAAACTAAATATTACTTACTTCTCGGTAAAAAGTCAATCAATCCCGACTATTTTACTTTGCTACTACAAGAAAATTTGTCTCCCTTTAATCTTACATAAAATGGTTTAACGGAATTTCTCAAATTTTACGCGTAGAATAAATAGATATCATTTCTTCATGAATATAATTAGTAGGAATCGTGTATTATTTGTCACACAAACTAAAAAATTAAAAAAAAAATGTTTTTTTTTTCTTAGACTAAAATGGAATAGGAATTTCATAATAATCTTTGTAATCTTTGCGTAAAGTTTTTTCAAAAAAAGAAGATACAC